TCTGTGATTCTGTGATTCTGTGAAAGCAGTAAAAATAACCATCTGTGTGACATTTTTGTAGGAGAAAATTAGCAAAGAGGTGTCACAAGTACAAAAACAGGGAGAGGGAATTTTCAGTTTCTTTACTTTCTGCAGGGTAACAATGGATGACTTAAATCAGACCAGCATGAAAAAGCTAGGATTATAAAGTATCTTAAAATGGACATGTTAACTTTAAGGCATGTTTCCACAATTTTCTGAAATTAGAAAACAGTTGCTCCTGTTTTCTAGAAATGGTTGAAGTCTGACTCCCAAGGCCCTTCCTGACATATTTGAGACATAACAATTATAAATTTGTGAAAACTGGTGATAATGAAAAACTAAGATATAACAAGCATAACAGCTGTCTCCTACCATTAGGAAAACAGTTATGTTTGGAGAACATAAAATATTCAGTCTTCTCCCACTCTATTACCCTGGGATGCAAAGTAATTCAAGTAAATCAAGTAAATTCAATTAACTTAAAAAGTTTAGATTGATTAGGATTCACACAGGTTCTTAAAGACAGCAGAACCTCAACAAATTAGCTCCTATAACAGTTGATGAGTCAACAGCTGATGAAAATGATTTTTCAAAGGCTAGACTGGTAATCTGATAACAAATGAGCTTCTGCCTATTAAAAAAAGGTAAACTCCTTTACACCATTTAATTTAAAATAATTGCCTTGCTTACTAATATTTAATGTTTATAGCTTAATGCTTGAGCTGCACACTGAATGTCAAATAATGCCAGTTTTTAGTAATTGCTGGAAAAGTAAATGAGCCTGCCCTTTAGAGAACGATCACGTACGGGCTGCAATTGCAGCTGCCATGCCTTGAAAATTCAGGACAATACAGGAAAGGCAACTCCTCTAGCATGTGATGACTCAAGCAGGTACTACATAACCCTTCTGCTTCGGGAGACAGCTACCAACCACCTTCTGCCACGCAACATGAGTGTCTTGCCTGTTCTGTACTTTTCAGTGGCTGGCCATTGAAGAGAGGGATGATAATAGATAAACGTATCCTCATGGCAAACAACTGCTTAAGTGCTACAAATTTACACCTATCTCACATTGCAGAAGCTTTTCTTATATCCATGGTCTAAATCTTGAAGGACTATTTTAGATTATTATTTAAAACCAAATATGTGTTTTTAAATCCCTATACCTTCAGAATGCTACATAACAAGCAAGAACACCAAAATTTTACTCTAGAGAAATTAAGATATCCCAAGATTACACAGTGATAAATGTAATGTGATTGAAAGCTTCCAAATTACATAGAATTAGATCAAGACTGTGTACACTAAGCTACCAACACCATATAAACTGACACATAATCTTCTTCTAATGATGTTTTAAAAATGACGTGCCACTTTTCCAAAGGTAAAATAAACAACTAAGGATAGATAACATCCCTGTTCTAACTAAATGAGGCTATAATTAATTAGTGCCTCATACCCATTTCTGCTGCACTGTTACTCATCATTAATGTGCCCTCAGTAGGCTATGCAACCCTATCTCTCGATCTGTGAGTCTCTGTCACTTTGGGAGGAGGGCAAGGGAAAATATCTGCATT